CGTGAAGGATCGGAATTGATCCGACGCCATTTGGTTGGAGGAAATTGGCAATTTACGCGTTTTAGGCATGTTTGAATTATTCTGGATGGGGTTGATTTAATCGAGGGCTTATTTGTGTGTTTATATAGTGGACATATGTCTGCTTGGTGCACGTGTGGGCCAGATTGAATTAATTGTTGAAATTGGCCATGTCGAATGCTGAGTGAGCATGTTTTACGTGTTAATTGATGCGTGCACGGGCCACGTGTGATGGGCCAGTTGGGTGTGGTATATGCGTGTCGAGCATGCGCATGAGTAAGAAAGAAATGTGGTGTGGCATGTGATTGTGGAATTTATGTGAAGGTGTGGAATTGCGAGTATTGGGATCGGGCCGAGTATCATAAGCTCGGGCAGCGATCACGTAGGTCTGTTGCATTTGGCACCGGCTGAGGCTTGAAAAAGCAAGGTTGAGAATCGGTCCGAGGCACGATCAGCTCGGGTGAGACCGGGATCGGACCGAGGCATTATAAGCTCGGGTTTCGATCATGTAGGCCTGTTGCATTTGGCGCGGGCTGAGGAAAGTGTGAATGTGGGATCGGACCGAGGCGTGTGATGCTCGAGGCGCGATCGAGTGGGAATGTGGGATCGGACCGAGGCGTGTGATGCTCGGGGCGCGATCGAGAGACCTGAGGCGTGTACGGGTACGTGGGCCGAAAGTGTGGTGATGAATGGTCGCAGTGTACCTGAGGCGTGTACTTCAACGCGGGTCACTGGCGAGGAATGAGAAAGAGGAAATGAGAATGAAAGGAATAGTGGAATGAGAATTGGTACATGCGTGTGTTGCATACGGCGTGATTGTGATTGAGTACGGGTGTACGCATGTTTGAGTTTGACTATATTATTTGAGGTGCCTGCGATGTGATGACTTGATGTGTACGAATGCACGTGTGTCTGTGTGATTGTCTGGAGGTACGTGATAGCCTAGGTGGGATTTAGGGGTGTACTTACTGAGAAGTGTCTCACGGTTGTTTCAACCAAACCATTTCAGAGCCCCCGCCTGAGCCATGATCATATTGAGGCCGACTCGGAGCCGTCGGGTGAACAGACAGCTGAGGAGGATTCATGTGGTGATGCCGAGGACAGTAAGTCAGAGTGGACGCCTCCGAGAGGGCGTATGGACTAGTTCTGGGAGCGAGGCAATAAATTGAGAAGGCCCCATTTTTTGGACAATGCTGATCTAGGATGCTGATCCTTTTTGTATTTTGGAAGTTAATAATTACTGGTTCGGTGTGCTTGTAATAATAATGGATATTGTAAATATTATGGTGTAAGTTTGGCAATGAGAACGAATATGTTCATTCTCCCTGATTGATTCCCCAGTTTTAATTGTCCGGGATTATTTGTTAGTATCCGCTGTGGTTGTAAATCTCTGATGGTTATTTGAGGTCGGCGACATTCCTGGGACGTCGCACTTATCGACCAGGTAAGGGGTGTCGCGTGCCCATTGGGGTTCGGGGCGTGACATGTGCGCCAAGGCAAGGTAGGAATGCCTGCGATTGTTTAATGGCACGTTTGTTTATGCTGGCCTAGGTAACCTGCTTGTGTTTATAATTAATGCAAAGCAGAGGTTGCTTTGCTATTGATTTGCCATCGATAGATTGCTGCATGTTCAGGAGCGCCCGAGGCGAGTTGACTTCCTAACCGAGGCTTAGATTGTTAACTTACCGAGATTTATCTCATTTGTTGTTGTTAACCATTTTTCAGGTGCTCAGGTATGAGTACGCGTTGCGTTCCATGGGAACCGCTTGTTTTGAGGAGGAACACCTTTTGATGTTGCCCTCGTAGATAGAGGAACTAGGTTAACCCGCTACCTTTTGTGGTTGTAATTGGGAAGGTCCGCGTAGCAGACTTGTAATATGTTAACCCGATATATTGCTGATGATGTTGTATATATTGAGATGTGTTTTCTTGACTATCCCTGTTGTTGTGATTGGGTGGATTATGATTGCTTCCGCTTGCGTTTAATTGAAAGTTAAAATGAATGGATCAGCGACGCGTCCTGGGATGTCGCAATTCCACGACCAATGAAGGATGTCTACGTGCTCGAGGGTCCGGGGCGTGACAGACAAATTGTCAGAAGATTTTATAAATTGGCACAATTAAAAAGGTTGAGGACTCAATTGGCTGCTGTAAACTATTAGGATTGCCACCCTATTTATTTGGGAAGAGAGAGGTGGAGAGTTCGATTCTCCACCTTCTCAGAGGGCTCAGGGGTAGAGACGTAATTTCAGATGTGGTTTCGGCTCCAAGCATTGAAAGGATTAGAAATGAATTGGTAAATAGGTTTATGAACTGTGGATAATTATCTCCATAATTGCAAATTGATAAGCTATCTCGCTTTCTACTTCCACCCTAAGATCTGTTCGCCTCCTCAGATCAAAGCGAGTTGCCAGGAGAGAGTAGGCTTCTTCGAGGGCTGGGGCTTGGGCTTCGACACACACGGTGGGGGACGCGCCGATCGATTTCGCAAGCCCCAGCGACCGAATTCCTTGCGGAATCCCATCATATGCCGGCGGTGGTTCCTCCCGATCCTCCCTAGAGGATGGATCCGTTGATATCGAGCTCCAAGGAGCCGCTTTTCCGGCGGTTCCCGCCGGACAGGTTTGCCTTCCCTCTTCTCCAATCTGTTGGCCCTCGCCGGGTTCAAACGCACGGCATTTCTGTTCATCACATGGGCAGCATCCATGGGGCCGGAATAGGGGTGAGAAAGATGGACCGCCCAAATCGGGATCAAACCGGACCGACCGGTTTGGTCCAATTCTCGGGAATATCGGTCCGGTTCCCGGTTTCTAAAAGTGGAACCGGTTTCCGAGCGGTTTGGAACTGATTGTTCAATTTTTTTATATATTATATATATTTCCAATTTTTTCCATGGCCTTATGGGATCAAATCAAAACTACAAAGGAAAGAACGGAACAATTGGTTCCCGATTCACAAATAATATTTAATATTGATCCCATTGGAACTAGACCGGACCGATGGTTCGGTTTGGTCCACGGTCCCAAGATTAGCCGATCCGGTCCCCGGTCCTAGAAACTGGGAACCGGTCCTCCCGGTACGGTTCCTGGTTCTTGGGTTGGACTGGACCGGACCAGAAACTACTCACCCCTAGGCCGGAAGACGTACGCGTCCCTCGGCTGAATACTCAATTCGAAGTGATTCCGGCGCTGAGTTTCGTTGTCACCGAGCGCTACTGCCGCAGGATCCTCGGGAGTACTTCATCTATCTGTATCCATCGACAGAGGCTTCTAGATCTTCACACCGCCGGTAACCGCCGCTCATCATCCGTCGCCGGTCATCACGGGCTCTTCCGTTCAACTCCCAAGAACAGATCAGAAAAGATAGGGAAGGAGTTCTCTCGCTGTCCAGTGATTCTCTCTCAATTTCTTCTCTGAATCCTTGCCGCTGTGCAGTGATTCTCTCTCAATTTCTTCTCTGAATCCTTGCCGCTATCTCTGTCGCTGATTGCCATCGCAGGCCACTTCCCTAATACCCCCAGCTTCGTAGCCGCAGGAAGCAGCTTTGCTCGCCCTGTGTTTCGGACGCTACCTTCGAAGTGCTCGAAGCTTGTTCCTTCTTTCTTCGCCGGCTTCGATCTTTGAAATCAACGATTCCAGGACCTCCGCTCTCCGATGTGTTCACCTGCCAAGATTAGAAACTCAGTCTCACCCAGGTAAAACCACATGCTCCGTTTCCTGTTGTTATTCGTAAAAAAATAAAAGAAGAAGAAGAAAAAAAAGGGAAAAGGCTTAGAACTATGGCCACTGCTGGGGTATAAAATCATTTGTGATCGAAGCTGTGTTAATTGTTTGAATCTGCTACGATGCTTTGTGATGATCTGATGATGAGTTTCTGAGCTATACATTTTCAAGATTAATAAAAGCAATAAGTCGTCCGTGTATACGTTAGAATAAATGTGCAAAAGAGTGAAGGTTGAGAAGGAAGGAGGGACTAAAGGCAGGTCTGATAACTTTGCTTATATGAGGAAAAGGTGCTAGAATTAATTATTGTAGAAGTGTGAGTGATTGTGTTCTAAAAATGTTTGTTCTGTATTTTATTGGGATGAGTCTTTTTAATATGGGCTTCGGGTGAGAAATTGTAAAGCGATATCCCTGATTTCTGGCGAGAATTAAAGTGGTGTTCTTAGGATGGTTGTTAAATGTTGAAAAATGCGGATTGCCCATTCTGAGTTGTGTAAAAAATGACGAGTAAGCTGTGAAATGGGTGCAATAGAAACTGAGAATAATTTCTTCTTCTAATCAGCTTTGACTCTTAGCTCTTAGCTGCAATTGCCACCTGGTATTATTATGAATGTGTGGATTGTTCAAGCTGGCTGCTAGCTTCTTCCATGCTTGGCCATGACCTTCTCCCGCTTAGAGCTTGTTTGATTTTTATCTGGAAAATTACCAAAACTGTCATAAATCTATTGTATTGTAGTCCTAAATCTTTTGCATTTTTGCCAATTAGGTCCATGAGGTCAATTTTGCCTGGCCGTCTAGCCAACTATAACGTGGCAATTTTTTTAAATATTTTTTTTCCGAGTTTTTTTTATTGATTTTTTTATTTTTTCTTTTCTTTCCCCCCCTTTTTTTTCATCCCTTCATCTTTAACCTCTAGCCGATTGCCAGTTCCGGGGACCGGCCAGAGGCGGGGGCCGGCGAGTTCGGCCTCGCTTGCCCTTGGCGAGGCTCGACCTCGCCTAGCCACGGGCAAGGCCAACCTCACCAATTACCGGTGAGTTCGAGCCTTGCTAGGGGTGGGTGAGGCTCGCCCTTGCTAGCGACTGGCGGGACCGACCTTGTAGGCCCCCGCCCGGTGACCGGCTAGAGGTTGAAGATGAAAGGAGGAAAAAAAAGAAGAAAAGAAACATAAAGAAAAGAAAAGAAAAGAAAAAATATTAAAAAATTGCTATGTCAGTGTTGGCGGGATGGCTGGCGTCTATGTCAGCGCAAGCCGGCCAAAATTGGCCGGATTGACTGAATTGACACAAATACAAAAGGTTTAGGACTAAATTGGCACAAAAAAGTTTAGGATTGAATTGACACAATTACAATAGGTTTAGGATTGTTTTGGCAATTATCTCGATTTTGGTCCATTTTTAATGAATGCTGACCACCTGTTTGATGATATGCCTGAGCTAAGTCAGTGTGGTTTTATTCCCATTGTTGAGCAATATGAGTGTATATCAGCATAGTATACAGTTTGTAATCAACATCCTGACTTGATGACGTGATTTTTTTTATCATTGAAGTTCATTTGTGCATGAAAACTAGTTTGTTTTCTATCCATTTCTACTGATTTTTTAGCCATGTATTGATCGATGTTAATCATCATGTTATGAGGTTTGTGGGGGGAAGAACAGCATTGGTGCCAAAACTTATGTACGGAGGCCACTTTGGTGGCAAAAGTTTCAATCGGATCACTTAAGTGCTAAAAGTTGTGAAAAACGATCACTTAAGTGCCACTTCGCCGGAAATCCGACGTGGCATTTTTTTATTAATTTCTCAAGCTGATGTGGCATTTTTTTTCCTTTTCTTTCTTTTTTCCTTTTCTTTTCTTTCTTCTTATTTCCGATGGCCGGCGTCCGGCCACCGGCCATGGTTGGCCTCGCCGGGCGTCGCCTTCCTCCGGGTGAGGCCCGGCGAGGCCGCCGTGGCCTCGGCGAGGGCCGGCCTCGCCGGATCTGGCGAGGCAAGCCCTCGCCGGGGCTCGCCCTGCCCAGGCGAGGGTCGAGGTCGCCTGGGCAGGGCGAACCCCGGCGAGGGCTCGCCTCGCCGAGGCCACGGCTGCCTCGCCGGGCGTCGCCTTCCTCCAGGCGAGGCCCGGCGAGGCAGCCGTGGCCTCGGCGAGGCCGGCATCACCGGATCTGGCGAGGCGAGCCCTCGCCGGGGTTCGCCCTGTCCGTGCGAGGGTCGAGGTCGCCCGGGTAGGGCGAGCCCCGGCGAGGGCTCGCCTCGCCGAGGCCACGGCTGCCTCGCCGGGCCTCGCCCGGAGGAAGGCGATGCCCGGCGAGGCCGGACCGGCCATGGTAGAAGAAGAAGAAGACAGAAATGAAAAAAGAAAAGAAAGAAAAGAAAAAAGAAAAAAGAAAAGAAAGAAAAAAATCAGAAAAAAATATTTAAAAAATTGAATTATACACATGGAAATGCCATGTGTCATTAAAATTTAAATATAAAAGCCACGTATTAAATTTGGTCGGAATTTCTCGCCGTTGGCACTTAAGTGATCGTTTTTTCTCCGATTTGACACTTAAGTGATCGCCGGCGTAAACTTTTGGCACTTAAGTAATCCAAATGAAACTTTTGGCACCAAAGTGGCCTCCGTACACAAGTTTTGGCACCAATGCTGTTCTTCCCCCGAGGTTTGTGTTAGCACTGCTGATGTAGTTGTTGCATCACGAGGAGGCTATGAATTCTTCTTATTGAAATTTGAACTCTTGGGAAAGTGCTAAGCTATTCACGCAGATGTAAAAGATTGTGATTTCTGATTCAATATATTGAGGCCTGATTTTAAGTTGGGCTAGATGCCTTGACAAAACTTGTTTTTGAAGAGCAAAGCACAAGCAAGTTGAAACCATATCACTGACTGGTTTCTTTGATAGCTATAGCTTAGTAAGACCTCGTGGGCTTTTATAGGTTTCGTTATTGCTTTGGATAGACGAAGCGGTGGCTGCACAATAATTGTCTTAAGTTTTTGTATCTTTCACAGAGTTGTGGGTATTTGTTGTAATACTCCTTTCTTTGGTTAGAGAGTAACATTCTTTTGCTGCTGTAGGCTGTCTGAGCGAAGGAGAAAAGAAGTGGTGGATTTAAAGGGGTAAAGGACTAAGAAAAATAAAAGCAGACAGAGAGAAAAATAAAAATAGTAAGTTTAGAAACATCTCTTAAAAAAAAAAATCACAGTAAATAGTTTAGTTGAATTTAGGATTCACTTCAAATAATTGAACAAGTAATGCAAAGCGCCGTAGCCTAAGAGGAACGCAAGGGGACTAAATGTGTAAGAGGAACGCAAGGTGGACTAAGGGCCTATTTGGCAAGTTGCCAAATAGTAAAAATTTTTGTTCTTTTGTTTCTAGAATTAGTTTAGGAACAAAAATCTGTTTGTTAAATTTTTTGTGCCCGGGCACAATTTTGCGAAAAATTGTTCAAAGAATCAGTTTTGGAACAGAATCAAGAAGCAAAAAAAAGTAGCTTCTTGATTCTGGAGCAATTTTTTCATTTCTGATTCTTCTTGATTTTCTTCTATTTTTTGGTTTGTTGTTGTTCTTCGGCCTGCCGCCCGCCACCCGCCACCCACCGGTGGCCGGCGAGGGCCGCTCGCGGCCGCAACGGCGAGGCTCGACCTTGCTGTCGCGACCAGCAAGGTCGGCGGTGAGGGCTGCGACGCCCTCGCCGACCCTGACCTATGGCCGGTCGCCAGCGCCGGCGATTGGCCATGGCTAAGGAAGGGAAGGGAAAGAAAGAAAAAAAAGAAAAAAAAAAGAAAAATTAAAAAATTCAAAATATTGTTAATAAAATGAAATTTTGTGCAGTTATCAAACACATTTCTGTTCTTTTTCTATTTTAAGAATATAAATTTTGGGCAGTTACCAAACGCCTTCAAATGCTTAGAAATTATTTTCGGACACAAAATTAAAAAGAATCATTTCAGAGCAGAATCTGTTTCCGGGCACAGAATAGTTGCCATGTGCAGCCTAAATGTGTACCTAATAGAATGACAAAGTACTGGCGCTTTACTTTTCTCTTAAAGTTTCAATAACCCACTTTTTTAAATATAGTCTCTAAAGTCAAAGCTCATAGGGGTTGCTGTCCTGGGGCTTAATAACGAAGCCATGTCACATTTTTTGTTCGACTGGAATCATATTACTTTACTGCACTTTACTTTTTACTTGTTATTTCGTTACTTTCTTAGATCAATTGATTGCGTTTCTAGATCTAGATTGGAAGACGAAAGTTTCCAAAGCTCGGAGAAATTGTATAATTGCTTCAAGTGCAGCATGACTTTATCGTATTCCTCCTCGATCTTGTCGTACTTAGTTTGTAGGATTTGAAGTAGCGAGTTGATTCCTAACAATGAAAGCGGAAAATATGCCTAGTGAGAAAGAGAAAATAACGCGATAGACCAAATCGATATGCACATTCTATTGTGAAGGTAACACAATTGGTTGTGTTTGGAGCTGAAAGTCATTTAATTTGCTCAAAGCTTTTCCTACTATGCCAGAAAACGTAATTCTGCATGTTTAATGACGATTTGCCTTTCTGTGGGGGGTATTCATAAGAGTTATAGACCTGCATGACTAGTCAGTTACTCGGTGCTAGTCGATTGCTGATTGAAATGGGACGAAACGAAACATGGTAATTGAATTTGAAGAACCTAATACATTTTGCCAAGCCACCCTAAGAATGTTTCAGTTCAGGATGTATCAAGTTGATTTCAACTCTAGCCATCAAAATCCAATTGCTTTGAGTGGCCACTAATACTTTATTTCTTCTAGATTTGCTTTGATTTCGTTTCACCGTTGGTTGCGGCAAGGCAACTGAAGTCCAACTGGAATGAAGGATGTTCAACACATTGCCCTATTGGTGGTCGGTCTCGCAGACCAGAAAGAAAGTCTAAAATTATAAAAGTCTTCATGTATGATGACGATTTGTCCTTTGCGCCCACTTTCTTAGAAAAAAAGGCTGGTTAGTCAGAAGAAGCTGCTAGTCAAATTCGGCGTGCTTTGACTTTGAATGGCGATGCCGACGTATACTTAATTGGTTCATCCTTATTAGCTCAAGCCATCAATAATTGAAGTTGCACTTTATCCTTCCATCTCGTTGTTGAGTTCATTCCTCTCCCTTGTTTCGCACACAGCAGATGCGGATGCCGTCACCTGCTCTCGAGAGTTCAGCTCGCCCCAACAAGGACATACAAGGGTATGATCTATTAACGCTCTAGATTTTATATCCGTTCGGGCCACTTGATGATATGGTTTTATCAATCCATGATTTAGGCGATAATTTGTTTAGTGTGAGTTATGGCGGTTGTGTACTAATTATGCTGAACACTTCCTTCCATGTATCCCGACGGTTATAGTTCAACCGTATAAGGTTCATAAAAGATATACTATCACAATTTGATTGTAGTCAACAAGGGTTTCTTGTTAATCAGGCATGCACTATGTGCGTACAATCATCAGAAAACGGATGTGCATAACCTACGTCGGAACTACATCATAGATCTCAAAGTATCATATCATCAATCATTTTTACGGCCAAGCCCCGTCTTGAGAGTATGTTCTTTACATAATTTCCGTTGCAAACCTTTGTTTAAAGGATCTGCTATCACGAGGTCAAGTCTGATCAGCTCAATTGACACTATTTTGTTTCTGAACCTCCTCCAACGGTGAAATACTTATAATTCCATATGTCTGGCACCTCTCGAGTCTGAATCCAGCAAAGTCTCAATATGAATATCCAATCCCTTCTATATGGTTGGATCTTCTGTACATGAACATGTAATTTCTTGTTCCTTGTACCTGAATGCCTAGAAGATGACATGGTTATTGATTCTATAAAGAAAACCGATTTCTCTCGATAATGCCTTTTCTCAATCTCATGACTTAAATGGAAATTTCGTGCATTGTTCGAACGAGCGAGGACCGGCTAAATACATATCTTCGTTAATTATTGTGGTACGTCCATCAAATAACCTTAATTTTAAGAAGAAAGCATGAGATTGTTTATCTGTTAATTTTCGCATTGATGTTTCTGTCATTTCCATAATAATGGGGCCATTTAATACTTTTATCTTATTAATCCATGATTTTGGTATTTTTCCTGACAGATGCATCTACGAGATGACCAGCGAATACCATGCTAATGAAGGTGTCGAGTTCATGGAGGATGACATCACGCAGAGCAAAGACAAAGCCATGGGATTGGACGTGTCCCTTGAGGAGTACCCCTTGGCTAACCCTGACTATAAAAAAGTGAGTCGACGTTTGTGTTGTGGTATTCTCTCTTTATTTTGTGTTGAGGAACAAGTTTATCGGGGCGAGAAAGGGAAAAGATAACCATGACGCTTATGACATGGTTCGGCTATTTGTCAAATAGATTGAAAAGATCATATGCCAACAAGTGAGTTTTTGTTTTCGGCCGGAGCCACCATGTGAGTTGATTAGCATCGCCTACGTGAATTTTCGTTTTTGTACTTGACGAATTCTATATTCAGATCTTCAAAAAATTATGTGGGAAATTATCAAAAAAAATTCTAAACCTATTGCACTTGTGCAAATCGAGTCATAAACCTTTCTAATGTTCGAATTAAGTTCTAAACCTTTTGACAATTTACTAATTTAGTCATTATGTGGCATGACCGATGCTGGTGTAGATAATTTTTATAAATTTTAAACAAAATTCATATTTTTAAAAATTTTTATTTCATTTTTTAGTTTCTTTTTCCTTCTTCCTCCGCCGGTTGCTGGGCCTCGGCAATAGCCGGTGATCGGCCATGGGCAAGGACCGACCTTGCCGGCTTTGGGCGAGGCTTGAGCTTGCTGGCATCGAGTGAGGCTCGAGCTTGTCAGGATCGGGCAAGGCTCAACCTCCTTGGCCTTGGGCTAGATTGACCTCGTCGAGATCTGGCAAGCTCGCCTTGCTCGAGGATGGCGAGGTCAGTCCTCTCTTGCAGGCAACCAGTGGAGGAAGAAAGAAAAAGAAAAAAGACTAAAAAAAATAAAAGAAAAAATTTAACAATTCGAATTTTTTTTTAAAACAATTGTCCACGTCGGCGTCGATCGTGCCATGTAGGTCGGTCAGCATTCACGTCGGTAATTTTTTGGGCAAAATTTACCGTAAGACTAAATTGGCAAATTGTAAAAATGTTTAGAACTCAATTGACACAAGTGTTTCAACAATTTTTTTTTGGCACAAGTACAATAAGTTTAAAACTTCGATAAAAAAAATTAAAACTTTTTTTTTAATTTTAGCGCATATGACTCCATGTAAACTTCGAAAAGTTCTTATAAAAAAAAAAAACTTCGAAAAGTTCCGGATGTTTCACTCACCAAATAAACTAAGATTATTCTAGTTCTTGTATAATGAATTCTCGTATGTACAAAAACAATTACGTCTTATTTTTTTCTCCGCAATCAATCTTCTCATTTTCTTACTAATCATTAAAATTCATTTTATTTAAATAGAATATAGGAAATTTATTTTCATGATAAAACGATTTATTAAATTAAGTTATTTCACAAGAAGAAAAAGAAAAAAGAAAATGTTTGTCCAATTTCAAGTTTCTAGTTTCACCAATAAGATACGAAAATTGACTTCACATATTACATTGCACAAAAAAGAGTGTTTAGCTTAGAAGAGGTCACCGTGACATTAGAAGAGAATGCCAACAATGTTAATTGAAACACCATATCATGAACAAAGCAAAATTTGAAAGAAGACGAGAGAAATATTAAGATGAGATCCTCTCTCAACCGTTCGTGTTTGCCAGCCTGTAGCCCCAATTACACCTTTCTAGATGACAACGGCTACACCTAATGTGAAAAGAATCAGTTGCTTAAATCAAAGGCTGATTAGTCCAACTCGGTGTGCTTCTAACTTCTTCTTTGTTTTTTGGTCGAAGTGTTCTTTTAACTTCGAATGGTGGTGATGGTGTACAACCAATGGTCTTTACCTATAACCAATTCGGCCCAAAACAAGAAATGCTTGAAAGTAATTCGGCCCGGTCCAATTCGGAGTGCTTTGAACTTTGAATGATGATGGAGTACTAAACAGAGGACTTGCCTATAAGTACCAAGTAGTTCTCTTCATCATCTTCATCAGCTCAAGCCTTCTCCATTAGCAATTACATCAAACCCTTCCCCCACCCTTCTTGAGTTCAGTTCTCTTTGTTTCTTACGACGCAGACATGGGAATGATCACCTACAGGCAGGAGATCTCAAGTGCCGTTGCACCATTGCGGCTGTTCCACTACGGCGACAGTCTCCTGCCCAAGATTGTTCCCCAGTGGATCAAGAGCGTTGAGCTCATCCAGGGAGATGGCGGTGTTGGCAGCATCAAGAAAACCATCAAGAAAACCAACTTCGGTGAAAGTAAGTCAGATCATTCTCATACTTATACCATATCAAGTGTACGTACAAATCTCGGAATTAAGATTTAATTTCTTCGCTTTCATGAATTTACATAACAGGCTCCAACATCAAGTACGCCAAATACAGGATCGACACTATCAACATGCCTAGTTTTATCTGCAAATATACCATGATTGAAAGTGATATCATGGTCGACGAGATCGACAAGATCGAGAAAGTGGTGCAATTCGTCGCGGCTGGCGGTGGATGCGCCTGCAGGATGAGTATCGAGTACCATGTCGAGGAACGTTGTGACATCAAGCGGGCTGACATCAACAGGGATAAAGACAGAGCTGTGAGATTGTTCAGGGCTGTTGAGGAGTACCTCCTGGCCAACCCCAATGTTTGCGCCTAAATGCTTTTCTCAAGATCCTTTCTGAGTAATAATATAGTAAAGTGAGTGGAAAGTTTGAATTGTATCTTCTATTTTCCCTTTGGCTCTGCCTCGGAGCTTCTGGGTGTGGAAAGGTTTTCATCGTGTGATTTCTATGTTAGAAAGGGGTCTGTTTGTTGTGTTGGCCATGCCAAAAAAATAAACAAAGCTTGAAGGAGCAATGATCAATGCAACAAATTATGGATTTTGCCAAAGAAAAGATCTACATTCATCTGGATTCGACGAGTTAGCTATAGTGGCAGTTGAAAAGTCAAACTAGCAAAATTGCCTTTCTTTTAACGGAGGCAAAATAAATCGGAGCGCTTTTTTTTTTGTTTTTTTGGAATAACTTTTCATTTCAAACAAAGCACTACAAAGTACAAACAGGATGCGGTACCTACGTTAGAATATAAATTAAAGAAGACTACTAATATAAATTTTTTAACTTTAAATGAGAAATTGTGAAAAAGAAAAGAAAATACGATTTCTACTTAATTAAAAGCCTAATTTGCAAGCACATGAGTAGCTCCATTTGTTGGGTTTACGAGTCCAATTTAACTCCAACTCAGATTGTGTTGAAAAAGGAAGTTTGAATACTCCCAGGGCAGAGACTCTTTTGTTGGATAACATCAATTAAGACATTACAATCGGTTTCAAAAATTGCTTTTCGGACTATGAGGGACTCGGCATAATTGTAGGTGAGAAGAAGAGCTGTTGCTTACACTTCTATCGGTGAGTTCCAACGTTCTCTTCTTGCCCAAGCTTGGATTACCGAGTTGCTAACCGATCATGTAATACTACCTATGACTCCTTTCTTATCTTTTCATGCACCGTCTTTATAAAATTTCAGCTCTTGATCTTATGGTGGGAGCCACGATTCTGTCCTTTCCCCAAGAGAATTAGCTCCTAAACTTATTTCCGCCACCGTCCTCAATAGCGCAACCAACGGACATAGAATTGTAAGTTAGCAATGGTGGTCATGGTTGTCTAGTATCAAGCCTAAAATTCGTGTCTAAATCAGTTCATAATATAAAAAAGGGAAAAGATTGTATTGAGGAAATTTGGAGCTGAAAAAGGAATTAACTTATCTAGACTCTCTTATTTTTTACTTTCGTTCCGACGAAAATGGATGATTCACGTTACCAAAATATTTTTTTTGAATTACTTTTTCTAGAGGGGTGGCATACCAAGTACAGACAATCGTAATGAGCCCACAATGTCTGCGAATGAATATGTAATTTCTCATTAATTGTAATACCTCACCTGTGGTTGCTACAATGATGGCCACACAAAAGAACGTTGATCGTGATTTGTCCTTTTTCCTAACCCTCTAGACGATCGGTGGCTCCTCCCAATAAGAAAACAAGAAAGGCTTGAAAGTAATTCGGCTTGGCCCAATTCGGAGTGCTTTGAACTTTGAACGACGATGGAGCACTAAACTCTTTGCCCCATAGTTCTTTTCATCATCTTTATCCGCTCAAGCCTCGTCCATTAGTCTTTTCATCATCTTTATCCGCTCAAGCCTTGTCCGTTAGCAATCACGCCTAACCCTTCCACCACCCTTTTGAAAAGTCTAACCTTTGTAGGCCACGAAAATGGCACGCCCAGGATCACCATAATTAGAAACCGAAACACGATAATGGAGAAATTGTAGATTCGTGTACCTGGTTTGGAATCCATCGAACTTGACGCGGAATTTGCGACGGTTTCCGAACACGAACTCAAATGCTTCTCCCCTATCCCTTCTTTAGAACACTGGCCTAATGAGATTGCCACTCACGAGAAGAAAGTTCTCTCTAAATCCGTATGTGAGTCAAATTGTGCATTATCAGGTTAGGGGAGGGACTTGAGCGCTATTTATAGAGTCTTCGACCACGGGCCCTCTCATTACGGGCCGGGCCGTACTCGGCCCACACCAGCCAGTCCCATATTAGACTTATTAAGAACCCATATATCTTACCTTTATTAGACCAAACTAATTCAGTTAATTTCAATTAATGAAGCCCACATTAGGAAATTCTTACATTCTCCCACTTGGGCGATATTAATTGAAACAGAACTGTGTGCGCACCCTTATATTGGTCTAGAGATTATTCTTAATAGTCAATCCGATCCCATAAAGTCTCGAACACCGAATCATGGCGGTAACTGCATGTACTCACGCAGAGCCTTCCATGGTCACGAGTGTTTTTAACTTTACTAATATGGATTCAATATGGTAGTGTGTCAAATGGACAATACCTCATAATGAGTGATACTTTATGTGTTGTCCACGTTGTTAGTCCAAATTCTCTCTCCTTAAGTGTCACAAAACCTAATGTGTCACCAGAGAATATCCTTCATGGTTCCAACGAACCTTCATATGTCTTACCTTGATAGTTAACTGTACTTTATGTGTAACAAGACATATCGTTAAGGCTAATACTAAGAATGCCCCATAGCCTGTACTCAAGGTTTACACAATGTCTCG